GACATTGTTAGGAAATATCCCTAGCGAGGCACACTTTGCGCTGCCTGCCACATCAGGAAACCTGGCATACAACCTGGATTTCACGCGTCCAAATATAAACTACCGCTACCATTTTGAAGGTTTTTTGGGGCAAGAATCAACCTCCAAAGCACCTTGGGCTTCCTCAACCTAAGGTCTGTTCCCATCCCAAACCCCGGTGTGCCTCCAGTGCTGCTTTGATCGTAGCCCAGGGTCAACAAGAATTGGCCTTCCCTCACGGCCTCGGTGGCTGAAGGGTTGAGATGTCTGGCCCCCTGCCTAGCGTATCTGAAGCAAAGTCTGGGGTTTAGAGGACGGACACTATAATCTTGCAAACATGCCCACTTCAAAGGTCGATGTACTTCATGAGGGCAAGCAGCGACAAGAGTGCCGGGGCTATGTAGCCTAGATTATGCTTGGGAGACCTAGCTTATCAAGATCTGAAATTTTAGGGTTTGGGGGTTGCGGCTTGGTACCCTGAGAAACCTTAGCTATACTGCGGGCTTGGCTGTATCGAATATTTGGAACAAGGAACTTTCGCGTCCGCAGCCAAGGGTCCAGGATTGGTCCAGGATTAGGGACTTGGGCAGGATGGAATTCCATGAAAGAATCACCTATTCACCCAAGCTATCAGCATGGCTCCAAGCGAAATTCCAAGAATGCAATCAGAGTTCCATTAGCCAGCTGTAACGAAAACGTATGATTTTAACATGCATTTGCACAAATCTGCGCATGATCTGTTTGGCCTGCACACATGGCGGTACCCGCATGTGGGAAAGGGCTGTTTGCCCCAAAGGCCGATATCCAACGACTTGCCTCTGTTCAGGCAGAATGGGGCCTGCCATCAGCAGGGTATGAGCCCCTACAGAAAGCCACTGTACGGCATCGTGCCGTCAACGACACATCTCCATACAGCATGCACCACACGTTATGTTGAAAAGGCTTGGAGTTGGCACACAATATGTTGCTACATGTTCTACTGCCGTAGAAAACCGTACCCTCGCTAACACTTCTGAATTAATACTAATGTTGCAACAGCATGTTCAACAGTCATCATCTTTAATCGCTTCCCCCTAATAACAACGACGCCCCCCCCCCTCCCCCCGGTAATAATAAATAATCCGGTGTCTCAGAAATTATTTATAATTATTATTAGGGTGGCATATTTATTGAAAGGATTTGGTAGGGCCGCCTTTAAATTCCTTCTAAAAGCAATTAAAATCGAATTGAAATCCCGTTAGAATCAATTGAAATTTAACAAACATTCCTTTAAAATCAATTAAAGTCGAATTAAAATCCCGTTAGAATCAATTGAAATGAAATGAACCTTCCTTTTAAAATCAATTGAAATCGAATTAAAATCCCGTTAGAATCAATTGTAAAATTCCTTTCAAAATCAATTAAAATCGAATTAAAATCCCGCTAGAATCAATTGAAATGAAATTAAGAATTCTTTTTAAAATCAATCAAAATCGAATGAAACCCGGTTAGAATCAATTGAAATTTAATTAAATTTCCTTGTAAAATCAATGAAAATCGAGTTAAAATCCCGTTAGAATCAATGGAAATTTAATAAACATTCCTTTTAAAATCAATTAAAGTCGAATTAAAATCCCGTTAGAATCAATTGAAATGAAATGAACCTTCCTTTTAAAATCAATTAAAATCAATTGAAATCGAATGAAATTCAATTGAGATTTAATTAAATACAGCTAAAACTGTAATAAAATCATGTAAAGTCGCATTCAGTTCTT